TAGCCAGGATGGTCTCGATCTCCTGACCTCGTGATCTGCCCGTCTCGGCCTCCCAAAGTGCTGGGATTACAGGCTTGAGCCACTGCGCCCGGCCAGATGAAAATCTTTTCTCAGTTAATTTTTGTATATGGTGTGAGGTAGAGGTTCAGCTTCATTATTTTGCAGCTTGTCCCAGCACAGTTTTTTGAAGACTGTTCTTTCCCTCAACATATAGTTAGCACCCTCACTGATTGATTATAAATGTAAGAGTTTAATCTCTGGACTCTCAACTCTATTCCATTGATCTATTACATATTTCCATCCATTCCAGTACCACACTATCCTGATTATTTTAGTTTCATAATAAATTTTGAAATTAGGAAGTGTTCCTCAACTTTGTTCTTCTTTTGCAAGATTATTTTGGCCGTTCTGGATCCTTTGCATTTCCATATGAATTTTAGGATGAGCTTGTCAGTTTCTGCAAAAAGGGCTGCTGGGATTCTGGTTGTGACTGTGTTGAATCTGCAGATTGATAAGTTTGGGGCACACTGTAAGATTTTACTGTTATATTTTAAGCTCTCTCCTACAAGAAAGATTTTTTTTCTTAGCTAACTGATTAATTTTTTGGAGACAGGGTCTCCTTCTGTCACCCATGCTGGAGTACAGTCACGCAATCATAGCTCACTGCAGCCTCAACCTCCCAGGCTGAAGTGATCCTCTTACCTCAGCCTCCTGAGTAGCTGGGACTACAGTTGTGCACAACCACGCCTGGCTAATTTTTTACTTTTTGTAGAAATGGCTTCTCTCTATGTTGCCCCAGCTGGTCTCGAACTTCTGGGCTCAATCATTCCTCCTGCCTCAGGCTCCCAAAGAGCTGAGATTACAGACATGAGCCACCTCACCCAACCAAGATTTTTTTCTTTGTAATTCTCCTGTGTTTATTTTAATTCATCTTGCTTATTCTGTTTTGTATCCCCCATTGTAATTAGCTCTTAAACTTTCAGAAAAAAAATTAGTTACGTGTTTGTTTGGAACAGCAACTAGGAAGCTTAGCAACTAGCCAGTCTTGGGATCCAGAGGAAACAGACTTTAGAGGATAGTATATCCATTTAAGGAATGAAAAGCAAGCTGAGGCCAGTATAGACAGGCCGTGCTTCAGTAATTCTTCAGTGTATGCAGGGAAAAAAGTGTATATATTTCATGACTTGGGAGCTTATCCAGTTTTGGGAACTGTGCTTTAACAGAATTATATCATTACATAATTAAAATTATGTTTAGGGTATTGGAAGGAGTTCATGTAATTGAGTGTCCCTGAAGCTCCAGTTTCATTAGTTTCAGAATAAATTCACTTTTGAGTATGTGTATGCTAAAATTATGGCAGAATATTTAAGGTTTGAAATTGGTAAATTGGGCTGGAACTTCAGGAACACCATACTCCTTTAGAAATGGTGGCCTTGAGCTAGGCCATGAAATGGCAGAATTTAGAAAAGTGTTCTGG